TTGTCAAAAGACAAACTCTAAATGTTGTTCAAATCCTTCAAAAGGAAGGGTTTTAAACTACTGCTATGTGAAACATTCACGTATTTCATTGGTAAGCATTCTACATTTGCAAAACTGCTGAATAGATGTTTTGTGCACTAGCAGTGATTAAGAACACAGCTACGTCAATGGCATTTTGTGTTTTGTTTTTTTTTTCTGGTCTGGATGCCAATGAACAGCATGCATCTTCCTCACAACAAGCTGTTGCAAGATTTTTGCCTCCGGAGAAGCTGAGGGGAAAATATTGATAGATGTGTTAAAATAATCTTTCTAGACAAGGGGATGACATCCATTTTACAAGGAAATAGTTCCCTTTCTTGTTTCGCAATTATTTTAGAGAATCTGTAAACTTCAACCAAAAATATAGTATTACAAATTCACTTTCATACTGTAGTCTTCTCTCTGTCGAATAAATGTTGAAAAAGAGTCCATGCTGTATAACATACCAGCAGCAGTGACCAATGGACTAAGTACGTGCAATAGCTCAAGCCCTAGGAAAAGATTTTCCCAAATTCTTATTTGAAACAAGATCTGTCCAATCGGCTTGTCTTATTGCAGCCACTTCTGGAAACAGTTCAGCTCTTAGCCTTCTCCTTTCACAGGGTATGAAAGAAAGCATCGCTCCCATTCAGACTTTTGCACTTTTGGACTATGAGAGACTATTGCTCATTTTTTGACTCTCTCAGCATTTTAGTCACTCCAGTCTACCCACACAGTGACTCACATGCACATCAAGGCAAGTTTTCTCGTTGCAGCTCTCTCTGGGCATCTCATTCCCCTCTTGTTCCTTTTTCGCCTGGAGTGCTAGCTGTAATTCTCTAATTCTGACGGGTCCTGGATTTCAAACTAGGTAGATGATCAATACAGGAGGGGAAGACCTCCAGGTTTGCAGAGAGTAGAGCTGAACACTGAATGGAACATGGGCACTGATTCATATATTTATCAGAATTAAAAATTGGGGTCCTTTTTAATCAGAGGAGGGTGCTGACCACTGGGTAGTATAAATTAAGACGACTGGCAATAGCATTCCTAAGTGAGAGTATCCACACATGGATTTCTTCCTGAAAATTATAACTCTATCTGTGTCCCAGCGCCTTGGTGAAAGAAGACATCAATACAATTGTAATAAAAACAACGATGCCTAACAGAATGAAAATAAGCTTGTTTGTTCAGAAAGTAAATGTAACTTATTAAAAGCACAAGTCAAAATACTGATCTATGCGAAAAAAATACTTTTACATTTTTCTAAAGATACCATTTGCTATTCTTTACTAGTATAGTGTATCCATCTCTTCTATACAGATAAAAATTGCTGCAGAGGTCTTAAAATAATACAATCTCTCAACTTGTGAAAAATCTGCTTGTCCATCATGGGTTAAGGGATTCCTCGCCTATCAGCAATCTTCAGCAGAACTCTTAATATTGAAAATTTTTTGCTGCTTACACCGCTGACAAAAGAGCTGACAAAAGCCTTTGGCCACTGAGATCAAAACTGGGGATGGGGGGGAGAAAGGGGAGTTTAGCTTATTTACATTTTTGCTTTGTTAGTAAACTGGAATGGCTGGAGCAGGAGGGAAGGTAAAAAAAAAAGGGAGAGAAAAGTGAAATTAACAGCCACTAAATCTTCTGGCAACAGCAGTGCATTTTGATGATGTGCTGCGTCAGCTTCCACTAATGGTTTAGGGTTGAATCAGGCACAGTTCAAGACCCAAAGCAGTGCAGGGCATCACATCTCATTCTTTGGAAGAACATGTACCCTAATTATGGCTTCAAAATAAAGGATTTCTGGCAAAGCGGAACAACGATCTACTTAACAGAAAATCAGAATGTCATTCTGAAACCCTAAAAATCATAAAAGGGTAGGATTTCAGTCCTGCAATGAATGTGTACCTGAACTAGAAGTGTTACCATCTTGAGACGAAGCTATCTTTCTGAACAAAACCCTCTGAAGTTGCTTTTTCTGCTCCTAGGGGTTAATGTCCCCGGTCTATTCCAGTAATGCGAATGGAAACAAACGCTGCGTATGTGTCTGTGCCACTTAGCACACAAAATATCTGCCCAGTATTTCAGAGAGCACAGGAAGGAAATGCCCACTGAGCTAGGGACGTGCCAATGTCAGTGGTGCCTGTGCCAGTCCATTCCCGTGAAATTCGCGGCGTGTGGCAGAAAGCAATGCGGGGCAGCAGGTTTGCAGTGGGGTGGAGAGACAGCTTAAACAGGCAGTGGAAAAGAATCAGCCATTTGGGAGGTTTAATAGGGGGCTGTTTGTTTGTCTGCCCTTTTGATGTTAAATTAGTCTTCAATTTCGTTGCAAGGAAGGAGGCACTGGGAAAGGGATGCTTCTCTTCCAGTAAACCCTGGGAAAGCAACACCTTTATTTTAACGGCCTTCCCACCAAGAACCCCCTGCAACATTTTGGCTTTCCCTAGCCATAGCTATCAGCAACACAACAGCTGCTCATTTTACAATGACTTGCTGGAGAGAGAATGATTGAAAGAGCCAATCTATGTCACATGGAGAAGCTGTGGCACAACATTGCAGGAGGTAATAGGAGAGGAATGAGGTCAGAACAAACAAGGGTAGGGTGAGAACGGAGAGGAAAATAGCAGCGAACAAAATTACTGAAGGCGAGACGCTGTGCTATACACAATCTAGGTTTAAAAAAGGCCACAACCAGAACGCTGCAAGCAGCCACAGAAATGCAAACAAGCTCTGTGCCACTTTTTCATAGGGTCTTGGGAATACGGCTGATGAAAAGAAGTACCAAAGTCCTAGTAATGGGGGACAATGGTGAGAATATGCTTAGATGAAGGAGCAGTCTAATTTGCATGGCTTGAAAGTCCCAGCACCCGGTGGCGTCCCACTAGTCGCGGGGTTTTAAATAGCAGCCTCACTCATGTCATTTTGTAGCTTGAGAAACGCAGCAGCAGCAATGGTACCGCAGCTGCCCAGCTCCCCTCTGGAGCAGGCTGCACTAGCTCACGCCTGGAAGTTCACCTTTAGCAAAATCGCTGCAGAGACCCACGTCGGGGAAACAGCGGTGAGCTATTTAGCTTTAGTGCCATTCATAAAAATCCTTCCTGAGGAACAGTTGCTTTTGTGTTACCATGGCAGACCAGAAAACCACCATGCAAAATGGTGGTGCAGGACTTGTATGAAGAGGCAATACTATTCACTAGGCCAGTCACAAAAATGAGCTTTTGGGCTCAGCTGAAGAGACAAAGTGACTTTGGCTTTGACCTTTGGGCCCACACCCCATGTATTTTTACCCTAGATGGGTCAACTGGTTCCACAGAAGTTACGACTTTCCCCTACACATTGTCCTGGTCCCATCCTTACCTATCATGGCTACAGTAAAGCTACTTTCAACATCACAATGTTCTTTCCCTCTTCAGCAATCAGGCTGCTAAAATGCCAATCTATTTACCTGCCTGAATGAGACTGTGGGAAAATGCTACCTTTCGTGCTAGGTGGACTATCTGGCTTCACTCAGCAACAGGGATGGGCTTCTGTGCCACGTCCTGGGAAACACGTTGCAATTTCAAAGCTACCACACTGCACGTAACGCGGGCATTGCGGCCCTGCTGCTGTCCCCGCTACTACTGTCCCACCTGAGCACAGGCTGCAGGTCCAAGTGGCTGCAGAGGGAAGAAACAACTGTAGGGCATTCATGCAGCATCAGGGTTCAACACCCTCAGGCCACATTTAGTATGCAACGTTCCTGCATGCACCGAGCTTACTGCCCTTAGCTTATCTCGTTTAACCTCTGTATACAAACAGGCATGAACATTTTACACAGATACCTTTGTCCTGAATACTGAAATACACACTACTCAACTGAATTTTAACCTGCATTTGGTTTATAGTACATCTAATGAGAAGGCATCACTGTCTTTGTTTCTTTTAACTGAGCTCCATGTTGACTTTTTTGTGGTTTTGTCAGCAACTGATGTCATCCCTGGGGCAATGTCAGCAGACTCCTACTCTTAGGATTCCTCTGGTATTCAAAATGTCAGAAAACAACCAAAAACTTGAGTAGAAAGAGAATAAACTAATCTGAAATACCAAATACATGCTGCTGCCTGACGCCCTGCAAGGAACATGCCAGATGGGTGGAGACAAGGAAAGAACTGGAATTAATGCCTGTCTTTTTTTACTTCTGGGTATCTTAACAGATCTCCACAAATTTCTCAATATACATGAATGACTGTGTGTCATACTCGAAGTGGCACAATATAGTAAGTGGCAAGCATGCCACTGGCATTTCAATTACCACTGGCGGGGCTGGATTTCTAGTAACTTGTTGACCTTTGTAAATATTAAGAAATAACTCATACAAAATTCTGTACTCATATCCAAAATTACATTATCACAATACAGAGTTGTAAAACACCTCCCTGGAAGCGTTTAAGGAAAGGCTGGATGTGGCACTCAGTGCCATGGTATAGCCAATGTGGTGGTGTTGGGACATAGGCTAGACTTGATGATCTCAGAGCTCTTTTGCAGCCTCAATAATTCTGTGTGAGCCTATGTGAAAAAATCTTCACCTCATCCTGGGGGTCTGAAACCAGTGTACCAGCCCAAGAGCCAAAACTAACAAAAATACACAGTGAAAACAAAAAAAAGACCCCATAAATAATAAAGAGAAATAGGTGCCAGACAGAGGACACATGAACCAAATACAAAAATTACAATCAAGTATTGGCATTGTTCAATGATAAAGACATTTATCAAACATATGTGAAGTCAAGTTCAGAATTTTGAGCACTTGGAGAGCTTGGCAGCTGAAGTTTAGAAGGAATCTACTCCTGGTTTTAAGTATGCCTTTTTTTTTTTTTTCAGAGAAAGGTCCTGAAAATATAGGTTTCTTAGAAAATAAATGCATTTGGAATACAAGAGTATTTATGTATATATTTACTTAATAAATCCATCTACTCTGTTGTTTGTTGGAACAAACTTACCTGGAATACTCGCTGGCGATATGGGACCAGATCTTGACTGGTTGCTTCCAACGGGAGAGCCTACAGGGGAAGGCGATGGGCCGCCGGGGATGCCAGAGAGATGTGGAGAAGCATGAGGGGAGAATGGAGACTGTGCAGGGTTGCTCTGCTCCCCTTGGCTGCTCGTAGAGCCTGATGCACTAACGGCTGAGCTCAGGGTTGCTTCGGTTCCAGTCGGCAAGTCGTCAATGGATCCAGATAAATCCTGAGGAAAAAGAAAAGAAGAATGTAAGTAGTCATGTGAACTAATACGCAGGCCACAGGAGTTAAGAGCTGGCATGGCGACGAGGCCCATTTGTTTCCTTATTGCAGCAGATAACTCAGAGGTTGTCTTTAACTTTGGCTCATGTAGTTAAATGACAGCAGAAACCGAAGACAGTATGTGCAGTTCTCTACTTCATCTTGAATTCTTTCGAGGAAAAGAACAAGCAAGGGCAACAAATGAATTGGAATCAAATTCACTCAACATTGAATTTAACCTTTTCCATCTGGATTAAGCTTTCAAAATTAATCCCACAAATTCTGCCTGAGCATACTAAAACTAATGAAAATGATACATCAGTTTCACTTTCACACAGTATTTCATTTTGGGGTTTGCTACCGTTACAATCACAGCTTATAAACTTCACTCTTTAAGTCATCACCAAAATGAGAGAAGAAGGGTGTAAAAATACGCAGCCCTTGTAACACTTGCATGCAGCTCCTTCACCTTGCAGAAGAGACACAAGAAGAGGCCCTGTCCTCAGCAGCAGCACAGGACTTGCTGGTCACCTAGGAGCAAGGAAGGCTGCCTCTCTATTTCCATCAAATAAGAGTGTACAACTCACAGCTTCTCTTCAATTGCACACACTGCTAAACAGTCGCTCCGTTTCAGTTTGTAACTGCTGCATTTTCAATGAGAAACTTCCCCCGTAGGCCAAAGTGTGTCTGAATACTAACTAGAAGTTGCTGGGCTTATTCCTTAAAGCTGTAACACAGGAGTTATACTGGTCTTTGGATCTGTGGGAGCATTTTGGTTTTTTAAACCATGGTAAAATTAGATATGAAAAACCGGAACGCTGTGACAAAGCAAGAACATGCCCCTTAACCATCAGGAATGATGTCAATCCCTAAGCATCACAGAAAGATCTCATACAAACCAAAAAGCGCCAAGATAGTCATGCTTCCGTGACTATCGTCAAGGCACAAGTTAAGGAGCATGTTACTACTTCTGTTAGTGAATTAATGCAAAAACAGAGGCAGAGAGCTACTCCACTTATAAAACAGATCATTAAACAACCTTTGAGGCTTCCAATAACTGGGATGACAGTGTGCTGCTTTGGCTTATACCAACTTCACTTGCCTGACTCATGCAAGTGGTTGCACTGTAGACAATGGGATCCATCATCCAAGTAGGACAAAAAGAACTGTGCTCTGGCTGAACAAACAGCTCAGGAAGCAAAGCCGTACTGCTGTCTAATTTTCATAACAAAAAAATAAAGTTATTTTTACTTGGACAAAACGCAAAGCAGTGTATTTAAAGTCCTACTCAATGCTGACTACCTCCGTTATGAGGGAGGCTCACAGCCAGTCCCTCCGAACGGTCAGTCTTTCAAGGCATGGAAAGAGTAGAGCTAACAGTTTAAACACCAATAACATTCATTAGAAGCTACCTAGAATGCTATGTGTTATTCTTCCTCGTGCACAAAGCTAGTAAATACAACCCACCCGACACAGTTCTCTGCAGGGCACCTCACAGACCTTATTTCCAATGAATTTCCATGGATATTTCAAGCACAACTCTCACCATAGGTTAAATTGCTTTTTCTGACAAGCACAAAACTGTACAAGTATTTCATTAGGCATACGAAAAGCAAAAATTAAGTTTGAAACTTCCATCTATGTGTGGACTCTGCATTCACTCAAGAGTAGACTCCCAAATCCATACAAATAGAAATTTAATTGTGAAATGGGCAATAAACTGTTTTCATTGTTTCTTTTTCAAAACTATTAACTGTAGAACATGTAAACGAGAAATAACACCGTTTGATACTGCATAGAGCAATGCTACAGATTTTTCACAGTGGAATATATTTGGCAAACAGGTAAGCAATTACTGCTTTTCCATACATAATATGTTATTTTTCTGAATGGAATAAAATCACTGCTGTTGTGATGAGTAACAAATGCTGCAGGAAGTGCTGATAAAACAAATGCTGCTGAAAAGCATACAATAAACCCCTGAAAACTGAATGTAGCAGAATTGAGCCTATTCTAAAGAACAGAAATTCTGTTAAAAAAAAAAACAGATAGGCACCCAACTGAGAGATTATATGGAAAACACAGGATTTTATGTTTAGAATGACAAAGATTTTTAAAGGTTGTGTGGATTAAACCTGATCGCTCCCCACAGCACGTCCCCAGCTTGCTGAGGGTGCAGGTGGGGAAGACCTTGGGTATAGGAGTGAAGTTGACTTATCTCTTCAGGTCGCATCAGACCTCTCCAGCTTCCCACCCCTGGGGGCGAAGGGACTGACGAGTCCCAGTGGTTTCCTCGGGCACCTGCCTTCCAGGGATTTCCTGACCAACTGGATGCAACTCCTCCGTAAAAGCAGAAAAAGAAGAGGAAAACTTGTATGGTGCCAGCCTGTTTAAAGAGCAAAGCCATGCCGCCCTCCTCCTGGATGTGCAGAGGGAGCAGTCAGGTGGGCTCAGTGCGCCCGCGGTGCCTTGTGCTCCCATGTGCGCTCACGAGCCTGGGGAACTTCGTGTTCAATTCATCTGCGAGGATGCTCCGGTAGCATTTGTCCATCAGACCCACCAAGAAAGGTGACACAGGAAAGGCTGTTGCCTCTCTAGATGCCTGGACTGCGCTACATCACCTTTACCTTGCATCAGAGTAGGCTAAAATGAGAAATACTGGCCGTTCTGCGCAGGGTGGTTTGGAGACCATTATTTTGTAGTTTTTGTTAGTGCACACTTTGTGGCTTTACCTAGTCTTCTAAGGTAGAAAGCCTGAGTAGGGGAGCAACTGGGAAACTTTCAGCATACATAGGCTTTAGAAACACCTCTGTTATCCACAAAAGCTAATTGGGAAATTAAACAGAAGGAAGACTTTATGTGAAGCACCCAAATAGAAAGAGCAGAAGTCAACTTACTGTTCTCTTATTATCAGTATTTTAATGTTTGCTTTTACCTCAGTTTGTCAGAACTGTAACAAAGTAATGTGTGATTTCCACATCACAATAATTTATTTATTTACAAAATACTGTACCTGTACACATTATATACATAAATTACATGGATAAACTTGCATTTACTTAGCATATCTATATGTAGAGCTATTAAAAAGCCTACTAATAGAGAAATTCACAGTGGTTTAAGCATACAGCCTAGTTAACAAAGAAGCTCTGTAACTAATACTCCTCTAGAGGACAATTTAGTCAGCAGGGCACCAACTCTATTCTTCTTTTATAAGTGCTATCAGATCTATGATGCCTGTAAAGAACAGAGAGACCTTACTTACTGCATCTCATTCAAACTAAGGCACCTTCAAGCTACAGTGCTTCCATTTATCTTGTTGGAAACTTGGCAGGTTAGGTAATTGCCAGGATTCTTTTAAGGGGCTGGAGTCCCTGTGTACCCTATGGCATGCCTTAAATTTTGCCTCTTTTCAGAGGCTTTTTTTCGAAAGCACTCGTTTCTTCCAGTAAAATGTAGCAAGTTAAGAATTACCAGAGATCTCTTGTTTCTTGTAGATCTAGTTCTTGTAATCTTATTATTCTTGCCTATGGTATCAGTATGATTATATTTTCAAATGTGGCATCAAATCTAAGAAAAAAATAAAGAGCAAAGTAACTTTTTCCCCATCTCAAACGCATACTGCAGTTCTGTATTCGCTATGTCAGCTTTACATCCTGTATTATTCAGGACACCTTTCAAACTTCATTTCTAGATAATACCTTGATTAGAAGCTGAAATTATAGAATCACAGAATCATAGAATGGCCTAGGCTGGGAGGGACCTTAGAGATCATCTAGTCCAACCTCCCTGTCATGGGCAGGGACGCCACCTCTTGACTAGACCAGGCAACACATGGGGACTGAGCAGGAATCGACCTCGCGACCTCGGTGTTAGTCATTGTTGTCAGCACCGCGCTCAAACCACTGAGCTAACCAGCCCCTTTTAACAAAGTGTTTTATCTCTGACTATCTTCACTTCTAGCCTCACTTCGCACCCATGCACAACCTTTACTCTTGTCCCTCTGACAAGCATGAGAGCTACAATGGACAGGATCACATTGTGCTTATAATGGGGTTATAATGGGATTATAATATTTTGTCTTCCTGGTGGTACGATCTTACTGGATGGACGGGAGAGACATTCTTGCAATAGCACACAAATTTACTTTGCAATGCGTCAAGCAAGGAGTAGAAGGAAGCAACTGCTTTAACTCCAAAGTTACTTACAAAGAGAGCATATGAAAAAAAAATACAAACACCCGTACATAATATAATAACGTTAACTTACTTGAGGAATACACCTAGGTCCAACAAAAAGCAAAAAGGAGACCAGAGTAACTTGATAATACCACCACAGCTTTACACAGAGCATGACAGGATTAGAGCACTCACCAAGGGGGCAAAAATTTACAATGTAAACACTTCACACAGTCGTCCGTTTTGCTCAAGAGCGCCTCAGCAGACAAAACTGAAGGGATCCCTTGCTAAATACCTGCAGTTGAAGAATGATGAGCACCTTCGCCTGATCTAGTTGAGAGGCATCCCTGCCCATGACAGGGAGGTTGGATTAAATGATCTCTAAGGTCCCTTCCAGCCTAGGCCATTCTATGATTCTATGGTTCTCTGAAACCAGTAAAAAGGGAAAGGGTGGAGCATCTTGCTAACTGAGCTTCTGTGCTGCTAAATTACACCCCAAGTTCACTGACAGGTTAGTACGGTCCTTTGAGGCTCTCTAGCAGCTCGTGAGGAGCATATACAACCTGGAATTTATTTAAACTTCCCAAGCACTGCCTATCAGTTCCTTTATGCTCAGGGAGTAGAAGAAAAGCAGAGATATTCTGTAGATGTTAAAATTAAAGACAAACAAAACCTCTTGGTCTCCAGGAAGCTGAAACCCCCAGGCTCTGCCCTACCATCGGTTTTGCTAGCATGAATCCCAGCGCTACATGGAGGGAGCTGCCGCAACTGCCTGACTGCAGGATCA